ACTACTTTAACTTCTCTCCATTTCAAGGGGATGTACTGATGCGCCGAGCAGCCCCTATAATTTTTTACAAGATGGTCTAGTAGTATCATATCACACCATCTCAGTAGGCCTGGGAAGACACCATCTAGTCCTGGCGCCTTGAATTGCAGGAAGCTGTTAATTGCCCATCTTAGTTTGTCATGGTTGACAACTTTGCGGGCCGTATCCCAATCTGTATCGTCTGGTGGTTTTTTCCATCTGTCTTCCCATTTTTCCATCACATCTGATATGCGACATCCAGGGCAGTGTGTTTTCAATAACAGCTCTGAGGCTTCCGAGTCTGTTTTGGTATACTCACCATCAGGCTTCTTCAGTGAGCCAAAATTGTGTTCGCATCTACTACACAGTATGCTTTTGACTCTCTTAGCCTGGTTGTTGTTCTCTATGTTAGTACAGATTAGATACTCTATGTTAGTTCTGATTCTCTTCTTATATTGTTGTCGGGCCTGCATGTAGGCATCCCAATGTTGGTCTAGTCGAGAGTTTTTTGCTTTATTGAACAACTTTCTCACTTTACGACGTAGTCTTTCCAGTTCCGGACCCCACCATTGGTGTTTGTTCTGTGGTCCAGTTCTGGGTATGGAAAGTGGGCATGTTTGTTCAAAGCAATCGTTCAGTGTCCGTGTAAGGTTGACAACATGACTGTCAATGTCCTTAACGGTCCCCGGAGCGTATGTTGAATGAATGCTTCGCAGTTTCTCCGCAGTAAGATGCTCATACCGTTTCAGATCTATCGTGCGGGGATTCCGTCGGGGATCGGGTAGTTTAAGTTTCATTTCAAAGTTAAATTTGATCCAGCGATGGTCTGAGCACGATAATAATAATATAATAATAATAATAAAGCTTTATTTGATTCCGTACAAATTACAAGATAAATGTTCGAAAAGTACAAATATTTATTTATGAGATTTGTGCGGACCCCCTGTGGGTAAAAGCCTCCTCCAAGGCATGCCATATTTCTTTATTGGAAGCTACTGTGAACCAATCACGACCCGCCGTCTCCACGACTTCGTCCACCCATCTCGCGCTAGGTCTGCCTATATTTCTAGTGTCTCTGGCCACGTGCCGTGCCCACTTCCATTTCCTGACTAGCGAGAAGGATAGAGCGTCAGTTAGTTTCATCCTCTTGCGAATTTCTATGTTCCTGATTTTATCTCTCAACTTTATACATAGGTAACTTCTCTCCATTCTTGATTTTATTTCTGGTTTTGCGATCAAGAATCCAAGTTTGGCAGCCATATGTAAGACATGGCAGTATTTCAGAATCCATGACTATTTTTTTTGTTGGTAATGGCCTCGTTGTATACGGACCAGTGTATCGTCTGGTCCGATTTGTGGTATCAGGAGTCCAGAGATCCTTTTCGGGATCTCAGACTGCCTCCTGACGACCAGTTTGGTGCCTTCACGCGGTGACGCGATCCTTTCCAGGGATCAGCGAAGCCACTGTAGGGCTAAGTTAACACGACAAGGGACCAGAATAGCCAGTACAATGTGGCTAACTGGGCCCTCTACCATGCCGAGGCGCAGGAGAAGAAATGTCTCTTCCTAGTGCTCGGCATCCCGGAAGAGGACGTCTTAAAGCTCAGGGCTAGCGAGCGTAGAGTATACTACAAACTGGGCAACCTCTACGTTCGCTTCCTTGATGAACGTCCCGCCCCACCAACAAACCCAGACGAGGAGCCAGAAACGGCCCCACAACACCCTAAGGATGGCAGTGGAGGGGATCCTCCAAGACCCATTGAGGAGCCAGCCTGTTGGGGTCCACCTCCTGAGGAGTTGGAGGACCTACCGGTGGGCGAGAGTGACCTCGACGAAGACATGGAGGGTATGCTGAATAGCGATGATGGCGCTGTCTGCACCCCCCCATAACACCCTTATAGCCATCCAAACCAACCTCCAGCACAGTCAGACAGTAACGGCTAACCTACGCAGAGAGCTGGAGGTAAACACCAATACCGTAGCCCTAATCCAGGAGCCGTGGATTAGGAATTGCAGGATCTGCGGTCTTAACAATATTGGAGGTAAGATACTTCTCAACACTACCATTGATAACCCGCGCACTTGTATTTATACACCAAAACATGCGTGTACTACCTTAATGACCGAGTTCTGTTCCAGAGACCTTACCTCTATTAGGTTAAAGGAACCCTCATCAGACCTGCCTGACGTGGTGATAGCATCAGCCTACTTGCCGGGCGATGCTGACATCCCCACTCCGGAGCTGGCTGCGCTGGCACACCACTGCGAGCTCCACTCACGTCTTTCCTATTAAAGGTTCTCGAGAGGCTAATAGATAAGGAAATCAAACAATACATAAGACAAATAATTACGTACGGTGCTGTTGTCTGGTGGCAGAGAACAGAGCTAAGCACCGTCATAAACAAACTGCAGCAATTCCAGCGACTCTCATGCTCCGCGGTCACTGGCTGTATGCGCACAACGCCTACTACCGCACTGGAGGTGGCTCTTGGTCTGCCCCTCTGGATTTATTCATACAGCAGGAGGCCGCCATGGCGATCATTAGACTCAGACACCTGGGTCTATGGCACAAAAGTGAGGGATCGCACTCTAAATTATGGGATCAATTGGTGGAATACGAACGACTGATAGCAGCTCCATGCGATGGAATCCCAAAGCACCATATCTTTACAAGAAGATACTACATCCAGATACATGGAAATGACCGAGATCAATCCGGCATTAACGAAGTCCGAATTTACACGGACGGTTCCAAGACTAGGTCAGGAACTGGAGCCGGAGTTTTCTCGCAAGACCTAAATATGAACATATCACTAGCGTTAGGCCAACACAGTTCCATATTTCAATGTGAATGTATGGCAATAACTTACGCTGCCACAACGGTCATGTCAAGGGGTATCGAGGACTACAACATCCGAATAATATTCGACAGCATGGCCGTCTTAAAGGCACTAGAGGGCAACACAATGACCTCTCGTATTGTCTTCGAATGCCATCAAGCACTGGAACAGCTCGCTACATTCAATGGGGTACTCCTCCAATGGATTAAAGGGCACAGTAACTCACAAGAGAACGATGCCGCAGATGAGTTGGCAAGGAGGGGCTTGGCAACCCCGACTACCGGCCCAACCATACTCCTGCCCATATCGTTTAACCAAATACGATGCTGGGTCAGGCAACGGACCTGTGAAGCACACAACAGGAGGTGGAAAAACTCACCCGGCTGCAGACAGTCCAAACTGGTGTTGAATCAAGTCACACCACGACTCACCTTAGCAGTCGATTGATCAGTCTTAGCAGACTGGAAATCAGAATGGTTGTCAGAACTATTACAGGACATCTAGCCCTGAACCGACAACTATTCATCATCAATGCGACGGACAGTCCCCTGTGCAGGGAATGTCTGGAAGCTGAAGAAACGGCCGTCCACGTAATCCTGGAATGCGAGGGAGTGGCCACACAACGGGCAAGTATCATTCCCGATCTAAAGTCGCTCCTAGAAGCCTGTGAACGCCCCAGGAGGCTTCTGCGCTTCTGGAAGAAGCTTGGCTGGCTCACCTAGTCAACCAATCCTGGACCACTCCGAGTCTAAATGCGGAAACCGAAGCCCACAACCAATACCAATACCAAAAAAAGCACCGTTGCTGTTCAAGTTAAAAAATAAACCTGGAGACTAAAATACCTCCTTATCTAGGATAACATCGTAAGGCAACATAATGTGACGCAACCGTCACAAAAGCTATTTTAGTAGAGAACCCATCAGATTCTAAATAGGTAGTCATTTTACAAAGTGAAAAACATGGTACAAACCCAATGCTCATCATAAGGCATGTAAACAAGATGTGCTTTCTTCTGGTTAACTGTCAGCAATTTTCCTTGTTAGTTAAAAAAAACTCCGCACCACTATCGATAAACACTATTAGGTTATACTATCTTATACGCAATTCAATAAAAAAAACTTCAGAGAGTAAGCAAATACTTACAGATATTGTTTGCGTCTTAGGGTATTTTAAATGTTCAAATTTTGCGTTGCTGAATACCGGAGATACACTGTTAACCACAAAGTATTGACACTAGGCTCAGTGCTGCCATCCGAATAAATGAGAAAATCATTCATTCTCCGACATATATAATAGAAATAAGTGAAATTAAATTCAGTATAAATATATATATATATAAATATACATATATTTTTAGAAACCAAGAGTGAGGATTAATAAAAAAACAAATTGGAGGTAGTCTAACCTCAGTCCTTTAATTATCTCATTACAATAAAAAAAATCGGTTGTCTGTAAAGTCGGTTTACTGACGATAGTTGAACGTGACAACGTCATAAGAAAATACTGATGGAATGGTTGCATTTTTCAAAAATGTATTATTGTATACGAGTAGCAGCTGTCCACGCGGACGCATCGCTCACTCAAGTAGGAGAGAGACAGATATCGAACGCTGCCGAACGCGGAGGCCGATTGTGCCTCTTTGTCGATCGTTCCGCGCTCTCGCTTGCACTTCACGCCTTAAATGGAACGCCTCAGAGCGAGGTAACGCCGCATGAGTCATGTTTTTTCGTGCGTGCAGCCAGCTCCATCGAATTATAGACGTTGTCACGTCAAAAAGAAACTAAACAAGTATACATATCACATCCAACGAGTATATTAATTAGAAATAAGACTACAGGTAATTCACTAAACACATAACAGATCAACAATAAATCAATAACGAAATAGATTAAACAACTAAATAATCGAAAAAATATGGCAGACCTATGCATCACGAACGCACGACCTATCAAGACACGACCTTACCAAAGCGCTGCTCGAACAGCAAGAGAGCGAACATAGGCATGTATCGTATTTTTATAGGTATTCGTAGAGTAGAGTACATCTAATACGGCCTCTCCTGACAACTGGTCGTCTTCGATCCTGGGCTGCATACCGTTGAGGCGTCCAAGACGTGACCTAGTCCAGTGATGGCATCGACAATTACGCCGTAGCGCTCGTAGACGGTGGCGGGTCGACGACATCACCCGCGTAACACGGAGACAGCGCAGCAGGTGGGATGTCATCAGTGCGGTCGTCATCGCCAGGAGGCAATGTCGACGTTGACGACTGAGTGGACTCCAAGGCGTCTGCTTCATCTAGAATACATTTGAATCATTAACAGGGCCCTCACATACCCTTTTCCCCATCCACAGACACCTGCCTGACAAACTAACGCCAATACGACTTAGCACAGCTCCAACGCTCTAATAACTTAACAACGAGTTGTTAACATCAGGACGACTTGGACGCATGTGCTAACGCATTCGTTAGTAAACGGCGACTTGACAATGTGCCAACGCCCAAGTTCGCCTAGCGAGATAACTCACTACGAACTTACAAAAGAGCGACTTGAAAATACTTCAACGCCTATGTCAACTAGCAGGACATCCCACTACGAACAAATTGCGACTTGACAGTATTTCAACGCCCGCGTTCGCCTAGCGATATAACTCGCTACGAACATATACTCAGTCAAAAAATACAGCACACGCTTCTCGAGACCACTCGCCACGCCATGCCATTGCCATTTGATTACAAAAACAAAGTCACCACTATGAAACTCCCGTGGTGGTCGTCTTAAGCGGTTTACCCGTTTGTCCTGCTCGGAACGATTTCGGTCCAGAAGTTGTCGGGCTCTGCTCCTGCTTTCGATGGCCACATCTCGCACAAGGGCACGGATGACTGGGGTCGTCGCTTCAGTTCCTACGACAAGATTCAGCGGTAATGTCCGAGTAGTTTTGTGCTTCGTTATATTAATAACGAGCTGCAGTTTCCACAGAGTATCAGCCCACGATGTGTTGCTGTGGTTGGTCTCTATCCTAACCATGTTAAGCACGGTACGCATATACCTTTCCGCCTGGCCGTTAGCATGGTGCATACCAGGGGTTATGTGGTGAAGATCGCAACCGAAGTTGTTAATCCACTCAACAAACACATTTGACTCGAACATGCGGCCCTTGTCGGTGATCATGAGTTTTGGCGTACCAAACAGCGATATCATTTGTGTGATTGCTTTTTTGAGCTCTTCAATATCCTGGCGAGCCATGGGATGTAACATGCAGTACTTACTGAAACTATCAACAATGATTAAGATGTACTTGCATTCTCCGGACCGAGGTAGTGGCCCCAAAGCATCGACATGCACCGTGTGAAATGGTACATCTGGTTTTTCCCACGAAGTGATTTGTTAAAGCGGCGCGCGTGGAAGTCACTTGCTAGACATGCAGGTCAAACAATGAGCTATATACTTAGCTACAGATTGCTTCAAGCCGGGCAACCAAAAATGCTTGAGGATGAGGTCCAGTGTTTTGTCGATACCAATAAGCTCGTGTTCGTCGTGGAATATCCGGAGGAGACTAAGCCTGTGTCCTTTGGGTATATAGCATAGTAAACGTGGTTGTCCGCCTACCGGCGAATAACGATAGTAAAGCAAGTCGTTACGAGCAACATACCTATTCGCGTCTAGAGTGCCGTCTTGCAGCTTTTGAAGCAAGTCCATTGTTTCTTGATCGTATTTGTATTTGTTGTATCTGAGCGACTGGGTTACGGCTGAGGTAGTCTGCGTGCGGTATGAGCACACCTTTCCTGTACTCAATGGAGAAGTCGAAATCTTGCAAGTAGATCCACCACCTTGCCACCCGCGGCAGCAGATCTTTCTTGCGCTCCGTAGCTTTCATTGCATTGTAGTCGGTGACGACGGTAAACTTTAACCCCACAAGGTAGTGACGGAAATTTTGAAGTGCTTTCACGACGGCTAGCGTTTCAAGCTCGTACGAATGGTACTTACTTTCGGCGCCTTGTGTAACCCTGCTGTAGTAAGCGGCCACGTGTTTCTTACCATCCGGATGGGTTTGTAGCAACACAGCTCCATAACCAATGCTGCTGGCATCCGTATGGACTTGGGTGGGATACTTGGGATTAAAAATAGATAGGACCGGTTCGTTTGTTAGATACCGAATGAGCTCCTGACGGATAGACTCGTGTTCCGGTATCCAGGAGAACTCGCAGTCTTTTCGAGTGAGATGAGCGATTGGTGCGGTTTTAGAAGCGTAGCCCTTGATATACCGCCTAAAATAACCGGCGAGCCCTAGGAGTTGCCTTACCTGTTTGGCGTTTGCCGGTGCGTTCGAGTTAACTAAGGCCTCAACCTTTCGCGGGCTCGGTCTCACCTGACCTTTACTTATGATCCTACCGAGATACTCAACCTCAGTGACCAAAAAGGAGCATTTTCGAAGGTTTAACGAAAACCCAGCATTTGTAAGTGTTTCTAACACCCGGCGAAGTAAATCAATACCTTCCTCGACACTATTACTCATAAGGAGTACGTCATCAATATAAACCAACGTGCTCCCGGCGTTTATGTGTTCGCGCAACGTGTCATTAATTATCCTTTGATAGACGATCGGACTGTTAGCCAAACCAAAGGGCATTTTCAGGAATTCAAAGTGATCTTCTGGCGTTACAAAACCGGTTAGGTGTACGCACTCTTCTTTAATTTTAATCTGATGGAAACCAGAGGCAGTATCTAGGCTTGAAAAGAAGGCATAAGTACCCAGCCGATCAATCTGATCCTCTATCAAGGGGAGGGGGTACCTATCTTTGACTGTCACACGATTGAAAGCCCGAAAATCTACACAAAGCCGATCCGAACCGTCGCGTTTCTTCACGAGTATGATTGGACTGGCGTACTCTGAGGTCGAGCGCCTTATGATACCCTTTTTTTAAAAGGTCCGCTGTTATTTCTCTAACCTTTATCTTCTCGGAGTAAGAGAGTTTATATGGCCGATAGACTACCGGGGTGAAGCTAGTCAATTTAATTTTCATTTCACCGGTCTTTACAGTGGTTACAGCGGTTCCCGTAATTAAAAATTTTGAAAATTCTCTGATAACGCCTAACAGTTTATCGCGCTCAAAACCTTCAACTTCCGTATTTATCTGAATATTGTCTGCTTGCGATGTAACGAGGTTAACGCATCTCACGGGTTCCGAATGAGAAATATATCTTTTGTGCTCACGTAAGTCACACCGTCACGGTTAAGTATGTCCGTTCCTATTATAATACACGTTACCATTAGTGAGGACGGTACTACCACTAGGTCCGCTTCAATCGACAAACCGTCAAACTCAATGACAACCGTAATATACGAGGTAGAAAGAAACTCTTTGTTCACAATTCCTTTAATCGCGCAATGCCGGAATTTGGGCTGACAAGGAAGGAATTTCAATGCGGCAGAAGAGACCAACGATATATTAAGCGCACCGCTGTCTATTAGCACGTCCATTGATACACCGCAAACGACAGCCGTGGTGATGTCACTACTCTGAGAATAGTTCGAGCAATCCGTGCACAGATTAACACTACGCTCATTTCGAGACTCTGCCTTAACTTAACCTTAGCAAAACACCGATCCTCCCTATGTCCTGGTTTCTTGCAGTAAGCGCATAAGCCACTAGGAGCGTTAGACTCTACGATTGGTCTATTCGCGCCGTTGGCACCCGGAGGCTTTGGCTTCATAGTACAATTGCGACGTAAGTGACCTCTTTGACCGCAAGTGAAACACTTAATGTCTTTATCGCGACTTCCTAACTGCGGGGGACGTGGTGTAACTTTTGATGCGGAGCCGCGTGGTTCACGCACATTATAGTTCGGTTTTGTGTAAATAGACAAGAACGACACGAGGTTATCTGATTTTAGGTCGGCATTAGCCGCTGCTGCGCGCACTTGAGGGTTAGCAATCCCTCTTATAACGATGAGTGTACGTAATTCATCGCTTAGGCCTTGTATAATACGTAAACGAAGTAAAGTGCGCCGGGCACATTCAGCGTAAGTAGAGTATCTATCTGAGGTATTGTTCATGGCATCGAAAAGAATGTTGGCGTAGTCAAGCCTAGCCGGACAATGAGGCTTAAACTCTCTTTTAAAATTAGACCAGGTCCTGTCGTTAGTGACCCACTCATCTATCCACACCTTAGCATCCCCTTTTAAACAGTTTGCCACGCGGGATAAACATTCGTGGTCGGACCATCCGTTAGCCTCCCTCGCACGGTCTACCTCGGTGCACCACACTTCGATGTTATTAATAGTAGGGTCAAAGTTAGACACTAAATAATTGTGTGTACGCACCGGTTGAACTTTACAGCGTCACTAATCGCTTGAGCGAGGGTAGAAGCGTCTGAACCGCGCTGTGCTGATTCCGAGACACGACCCTGCTCTACGTAGCTATGTTTATCGAAAACACCACGCGCGGCTAAAGGGACAGGTTCTGACGTACCACATATCGGGGTTTGTAATAGCGGCGGGAGAGTGTAACTTATTACGTCATGACCACGATCATTATAAACACTATGACGTGATACCCTATGCGGATAGCTATGGCTTCGCGACCTACAGCGAGATCGACGGGAGTGACGCGATCTACGGTACCTTCTTTTTGAACGCCGTAACGTGCTACGGGAACGACTAGAACGGTATGAAACACTACGGGAATCACGAGATCTATCGTACGATGCGCGATCGTTGTCACTTGAAAATGAATCTCGCGAATGCGATCTCTTGCGGTAACCGTCACGTACGCGCTTACTACGAAAACGGGACGTGTGTCTAGTACGCGAGCCACTTCGTCGATGCCGAGAACGTCCACGTGACTTACTTCGTGGCATTATTATACACAAAACATACACGTTGGAACACTATTTAACTAATTAGCCTCTTAGAAAATTTGCAAAATAAAAAATATTATCTATAATAATATATAAGGGTAATTGTGAATCACCTGTTATCTGTGAGCCTTGAGTTCAATATCCCACTGCTGATTTTAGAAACCAAGAGTGAGGATTAATAAAAAAAACAAATTGGAGGTAGGCTAACCTCAGTCCTTTAATTATCTCATTACAATCAAGAAAAGAAACTAAACATGTATACATATCACATCCAACGAGTATATTAATTAGAAATAAGATTACAGGTAATTCACTAAACACATAACAGATCAACAATAAATCAATAACGAAATAGATTAAACAACTAAATAATCGAAAAAATATGGCAGACCTATGCATCACGAACGCACGACCTATCAAGACACGACCTTACCAAAGCGCTGCCCGAACAGCAAGAGAGCGAACATAGGCATGTATCGTGTTTTTATAGGTTCGCACTGCGTAGTGTATTCGTAGAGTAGGGTACATCTTATAATATGTATATTAGAGATAAGTAAATTTGTCTGAAAATACCCGGAACTGTATAGTAAACGGGAAGACAAAGAAACAAACTTTTCCTTTAGACACAAAAACAGATTAAATCTACCCCCTTCTAGACAAATAATGCATTCTCGTGGTCCTTTGGTCATGTCTATTAAAGTTTAAAATAAATCACCAATTGACATTAAAAACGAGACTAAATTTAATAATTTTGTTAATAAATTAAAGTTATTCCTAATAAGCAAGTGTTTCTACAGCGTAAAAGAGTTTTTGGACAATAAATAAAATACTCTAAAATAATAAATTCTGTAATTGTTATAACCAGATTAGACAAAATAAAAAAATTTGAAGGATGTAATAATAGTGTCCTCTTTTCTTCCATTTTCTAATAATATAATATATTTACGATTACTAAAATAATTATAATTAATCATTCAAATAGTTAAAATAATAAATAACGGACAATATTTTAATTCTTTTATACACTATTAAATCAATTTTAAAATTATGAACAAATATAAGTAACAATATTGATTATAATTAATAATATAATAATACATGACATGTATAGTTACCATTTATCCTACTATATTAATTAGAAACAAAATATTCTACTGTATATGTGGTTGTGTTATCTTCCTCTCTCCCAAACAAACTCTGCTGTGCCCGACAGGGTCCATAGTTGTTGCCGCTTGAATTGTTGTTACCTATGTATTCACATTATGGAAGCAATAAATTCAAACCTGACCAAAACGAAATCTTAGCAGACCAGCGCCGCTTCATCCCTTAGCCTCTCAAGAGCCCCAGTAATCGCACTTGGTAATCGCACGGTATACGGAAGGTACATTAAAAAGTCCAAAAGGTATCCTCCGAAACTAATACACAAAATCCTGGGCAATAAAAGTTGCCTTGTGAATGTTACTCCGAGACACCATTTTAATTAAATAGAACCACGAGGCCATGTCAATGCTCAAAAATTAGACATTTCTCAAAGAGTATCAATTTAGTCAGCTATTAATGGTAGAGGATAACTAATGCCCACAGTATTAGAGTCGAGTTCTTTCTTAGACATACGACACAAAGACGATTGGACTCGTCTTTTTTTAAAATTAGTAAATCGGTGAATGAAAAAGGCAACATACTTTCACGCACTATATCCTTACTCTTTAGATCAGCCATTACTTTTCGCTCAGATGGAGCTAACTTATAAAGTAAACGTTGCAACATTTTATCTGGCTTTTTAGGCTTTATTTGTATTTTACCAGCACTGATGGTTAATTTTGAGTTACCACTAGTGGAATAGTCTTTGTACTTTTCTAATATAGATCTCAATCCAAACGTGACGGTTCCAAAAATGGTGATCCAAAAATCCACGAACCGTCACGGTTCGTGGATTTTTTTTATTTATTTATTTATTAGGGATAACAAACAATAGTACAATATTCAATAATAAATAATATTATTTTTAGGTACAAATGTGCTAATTGTACTACCAACAGCATTATCCACTTTTTACTACACACAATTTTAAAATAAAATGGTGCATGCTACGTAATAATGTTAGTAATATAATATAATGAAATATTTTTTTTAAGAAATAAATTATTACTACTTGTATTTGCACAACAAAAATGTAGACACACGATGTATGTCTAAATTAGACATAAATTAAATTAAAATAACGAACGAGTAACGAAGCGTCCGCAAGAATTTTTTTTGGATATTTTCCAATGCCCCGATGTATTTATTGTAAAACGGATTCCAGATTATGGTAGCAAAGTCGAGACAAGATCTTACTAGCGTTATATTAAGGTATCTACAAGTATTTGGGTTTTTAAATTCTTTAGTGTTCCGTATAACAAATCCGAGCATTCTATATGCAGCCTTGATGATATTTTCGATATGAATGTCAAAATGCAATTTAGAATCTATAACAACACCAAGGTCTCTAAGCGAAGATACTTTAATCAAAGGTTGGTCATTTAAGAAATAAGTGCAGTTGAATACCTTTTTATTTTTTGTGAATGATATAGCATTACATTTAGGCAAGCTTAGGAAAAGTTTATTTTCACTACAATATTTTGCCAGCCGATTTGGAAAAGCTGGCAGTCATTAAGATCATTGATAGTTTTATAGATTTTGATTTCATCTGCGTATAATAAAAATTTAGAATGAAAAAAACAAGTGTCAATATCGTTAATAAATAGAACAAATAATAAAGGACCCAAAATAGAGTCCTGAGGAACTCCAGATGTTACGAAAATTTGGTCCGATTGAAATCCATTAATAACTACTTTTTGTGTACGGTTGGTTATATAGGAAATAAACCATCTTAAAAGATCTCCACGAATGCCATTAAAAGCTATTTTGTTTAATAGCAACTCATGGTCCACCTTATTGAATGTCTTTTGGAAGTCAGTATACACTGCGTCAGTTTGACAACGATTGTCCAATGTTGATGGTTCATAGACATATTTAAAATATTGACAGAAAAGCTGACATATTTCATGAGGGTACTAGAAATATTATTATAACGCATGTTATGAGGAATTCCCGAATTGTTTTGCTTATTAGCAATGTAACTCCAGAAATATTTAGGGTTCAGATAGATACTTTGTTCAACATTATCAAGATAGTTAGCATAGCATAGAGCGCATTCCTTACGGAAGCGACGGCGATATAGGGAAAATTGCTTGTAGTCAGAGAGATTTTGATACTTTTTCCATTTGATCCATGTTCGAGATTTGCTTTTGAATAATTTAATAAGGGGTTGACTGAACCAAGTAGGAAAAGTAGTTTTTACAGTTAATTCGAGGGATATGTTGCTTGATAAGACCAAAAAGATGGTTGTAGAATGTATTTATAGGTTCTTGAGCCTTTAAATTACTGAGGATGTCATTCCAGTTTATCACAGATAATTCATTTTTGATCGAATCGTAATCGGCTTTTTTATAATTTAATTTAATAATCGGGCAGCGTTGCATATGAGAGAATTTCAAGTAAGGAAAAATCATAGCAGTGAAAGGAGGGTAATAGGAATCTATAGGGACTAAACAGTCGGCTGCTTGAGGTAAACTACAGTTATCATTTGAGATTAGTAAGTCGAGTGTTCTGTTGCTTATATTAGGTATTTTATTATATTGTTCTGCGTGCAATTCAGAAATAAAATTAACTAAAGACTGACTAACAGATAAACCCTCTACACAGCCCAAGTCAACAGTGCTACTAAGTGACCAATTAATATTAGGTAAATTAAAATCACCCATTGTATAAAAAAATTGTGTGGAAGGACTATTTAGCACTATAGACAGCACATCAAAGTATGAATTATAAATATCTACAGGTGTTCTAGGGGGTATGTATACAGCGCTTATAATATGGCCTTTAGAACGGTCGCTGCTGGGTATCTGTATGAGCAAGTGTTCAATGTGGGAGTTTAATTCAGTACACGTAAGGTTTATTAACTTCGGGTGAAGTGTTCGCAAGACAGCAACAAGAACACCGCCGCCCTCCTGTTGATCGGTGGCCAATCGATCTCTATCGCAACGAAAAACATTATAACGTTGGTCAATAAATTCGTTATCGCCTATGTTAGAGGTTAGCCATGTCTCAGTCAAAACGATTACATCATAAGTATTACATAGAACACTCATGTAGACTGTCTGGAGCTTGCCACGGATGCCCCGGAAATTCTGATAGTAAATATTAAGTGCATCAGTCATAGGGAAATATAGAAACCATTATAAAAAGAATATTACTGTGATTAAAGATTGTAACCAAACAGACGCCACCACAGGCCTCCAGGCGGTAAGAAATTCCATAATAAGTATAAAGGTAACTAATTTATATATCTCCATAGTAATTTTAATAAAATAAAAAATCTACAAAATAATGCGTGCTTAAGAAAAATGTTAATGTAATACTTTAAACTACAGTTAATTTGGCACCTTAACATCACTGATTTTAAATTTAGAGAAATCATTTTTATTTCGAATTGCAAATACAGTTGATGTATCAGTGCGCCGAGCAAGGATACTCGAATGTTTGACCCAGCAATGCTTAAAAGTATGTTTCTTCGCTTCAAGACGGCACTCACGAAAGAACAAGTCAGATGTTCATTTAAATAAATAGTGTGGGAAGTTCCCGATATACCAAGCTGATCAGACTTTAGGCCCCTAGCAAGACGGTAAGCACTCAAAACATTATCTCGAAAAAGCATAGAATATATATATTCTTTGGTTTCTCTTTGTTAATGTGTTTTTGGGGTACTCTGTGCACAGAAACAATATTCGTTTGTCGAATGGGAAACTTAATTTTATCCCCCATCACCTCTAAAAGAGTGATGAGATTCTCCCCACGCCTCTCCGGGACATTGGCAATCTCTATGTTGCAGGATCTCGCTTGTTGCTCCAACGTATCGATTTTCCCTTCCAGTTGTTGTATGAGATCCACAGAGTTGCTGGTAGAAGAACTGCAAGACTCCAGAACATCAATCCTCCTCGCAAGGTCCCTACACTGGTCAGAAGTATATTGTAACGAACCTCCCAGGTGGTAAGGCGCTGTGTACAATCGCTGTCATTGTTTTCCAGAACAGATAATCGTTTTTTAAGGGTTTCTTGATCAGTGCGTAAGGTAGACAATTCATTGCGAATTTCCGATGTATTTTTTGTGAGTGAGTCCAGGTCGCTTTTGATTTTAAAGTGAAAGTTTATATTCATAGACGCGAAGCTTGAATCAACATCAGTTTTGAATGACTTCAAAGTCTCCTTTAGTTCGCGTGCCACAGAGTGTATCATTTCTGTCAAGGCACAGTCGGACTGTTTACGTTTCCGTGAAGTAACTCCAACATCGGTTTCAGACATTTTCACTCGCAGATCAGGGTTAGAATTAGTCTTAGTTGGAGGGCCACTCATCCTTCACCACTGTACAAGTATCCAAAACGAAAGTGTCGCTAACTTATCGTAAGATATCGTGGTAGCGGTCAGTAGGGCACTCTGGTACGAAGTGGTCGCCAATTTTGCCGCGCTGCAAATATCTGTCGCTGGTCATGAGGTATAAATCCGTGAGCCGTGTCAGCGTGTCCGGGGCTCAAATCCCTCCCGTGACGGACCTTGTGTAATTTACTTTGTGTCGTTTACTCACGTTGTTTTCGCCAATCAGGTAAGTTCAAGTCCACATATGACTGAGACACAAATACTGCCTTCAAATATGGCCGCTGCGTTATATGGATAAACTCACAAGATAGTAAGAGAGGTACCGATAAATACTCTAAACTTTGATAATTCGCATTGAGTATTCAAAATTAAACATTTGTAAAAAGAAAAAAACAAACTAACATCACAACCGCACGTAGCAAGGCACCGAACGTAAGTTTTAACGTAAGTGTGATCTAGAGAGTAAGGATATAGTGCGTGAAAGTATGTTGCCTTTTTCATGCACCGGTTTACTAATTAAAACGAAAGACGAGTCCAATCGTCTTTGTGTAGTATGTCTAAGTAAGAACTCGACTCTAATACTGTGGGCATTAGTTATCCTTATTTATTTATTTATTTTTTATTTATTTATTTTGCAGAACATGAGTAGGTATAAAAGTTCTTACAATAGTATCAGATTCATCATATTCTGCTGTCACAGCAGCATGCAAAAGTATACAATAACCATTAAATTAATATAAAGATTGGAATTGAGGAAAGTCATTAATAAATTACGTTTACATAGTTATAACTGTTATATAAATTAAACATTGTTCATTAACACCAATTCACTATCAATTAAATAATCGTTCACAGAAAAATATCCTTTTCCAACTAATATTTCTTTGACTTTATTTTTAAATATAAATACACTATCTGTGATTCCGAGTACAGATTTTGGTAAATGATTGTATAATCAAACAGCCATACAAAATGCGCTCCTATTTAACAGGGCTGTTTTATTTCTGGGCATGCGTATTTCCATATCACGCCTCTTACTATTAAGATTTTAAATACATAAGCATTTTTACGCACAAACACGACAGTTTCTAATATGTAAATGCATGGTAGCGTTAGAATTTTAAAGTTTATAAAATATGGTTTACAACTGTCTGTAGTTTTAATACTGAATATGGCCCGCATGCATTTCTTTTGCGCCTTAAATACAGTTTCCCTATCTGTAGAATTTCCCCAGAACACAACACCATACCTCAGAAGAGAGGAAATGCACCCATGATACACCGCTAAAACAGCTGTGATACTTGCTGTTTTCTTTAATCTATAAAGTGCATATGAATACGTATTTAGTTTGAGACACACTGTTTCAATATGATGCTTCCAGTATAAGTTATTGTCTATATTCAACCCTAAAAACTTTGTAACCTCTACTTCCTCAATTTTTTGGTCTAAATACCGAATATCCATATTCGTCAATTTATTTATTCTATTTCTGTATGTCATAAAATTAGTTTTACTTAAGTTAATATTCAAATTATTCAATGTCAACCAGTTAATAACATTGTTTAATGTCAATTTTATTTCTTGCTCTAAATGTATCTTGTCTTTTCCAGTAAATATAATTGTACTATCGTCAGCAAATAAAATTGTGTTATAATTTGTCACTTTTGGGAGATCGTTTATATATATATTAAAAAGCAGTGGTCCCAACACACTACCTTGCGGCACGCCCAACTTGACTTTTCTACTAGATGAAGTATATATCGTAACTTTTTTAGTCTTTGGGCATATTCTACTTATTTGGGTTATTTGTGATCTATCAGCTAAGTAAGATTTAACCAAATCATAGACATTTCCTCTTACGCCGTATGCATAAAGTTTTTTTAGTAGTAAGCTATGTTCGACGCAATCAAAAGCTTTTGATAGGTCCATGAATAACGCGCATGCCTGCTCACCTTTATCCATTTTAGTTAAAATTGCACTTAGAAATTTATAAAAAGCCATATCAATTGATCTGTTCTTCCTAAATCCAACCTGCTCATCACAAAATAAATTATTAATTTCAAAGTAGTTATAAATACTATCATAAATAACCTTCTCAAATATTTTTGAGAGAACTGGTACTAGAGCAATAGGACGATAGCAACTCATGTCACTTTTATCATTTTTCTTAAATAGTGGCTTGATGATTGTCAGTTTTAGTTTGTTAGGAAAAATACCTTGTGCAATGCACAGGTTTATAACGAGGCATAATATGTGTGATAGCTTAATAGACACATATTTGAGAACTTTCGTTGTTATACAATCATAACCTGCACTGTTAGTGTTTTTTTAGATTTTGAATAATTTTAAAAATATCTTGTGGGATACACGGTTTTAAAAATATAGATTTAAGTTCGAAAGGAATATTGGTTCTTGTATTGCTCATTAGTATGTCATTATTTTGGTCAGTAAAAAATATATTGAAATGGTTTGCTATCGCTGCAGGCTCGTCAATAATTTTATCAGCTGTTTTAATATATTTAATTTCATATTTTGGCACATTCAATTTTTTTTCATTGATTATCGCCCAAGTAGCTTTCGATTTATTACATGCATTTTTTATGTAATTATCATTTAAACACTTTTGCGTTAGTTTTTTTAACCTATTAAGACGTGATGATAAAGCTTGGAAGCGGGTTTTACTACTGACAGTTTTGGATCTACGAAATTCCCACAATAACTGTCTTTTTCTCTTACAACACAATCAGATACCTTTAGTGATCCATTTTGGTCGAGCAGTTAAAAATTTTTTCACTAGTTTTATTGGAAAACATAAATTATAGAAAAGATGGAAGAGGTCGTGAAAGTTATCAAAAGCAATGTTTGGGTTTTCACTAGCAAAGACATCACTGAAACTAAGACTATCAAAACACTCTTTAAATTTTCTCAAATTTTCCTTGCTATAGTCGCGTATTTCAACTGTCCATGATTTCAGGGGAAAACTGGATTTCACGGGACATGTAAGCAATTGTGCTGTATGGTCTGACAATGCAAGTTCTAGAACTTTTCCTTTGCAACCGTGTATATTAAAAATTATGTTGTCAATGCAAGTTCCACTCAATAATCGTGTTGGTTCGTGTATACTTAACCTCAGATTAAAATAATAATAATATATCTCACACATCGCACACACGGCCGTCTGATCCCAAACTAGGCAGAGCCTGTACTATGGTAACCAGACCGCTGATAAACATACTTATACAATATTTGTCCTGGGTGGGAATCGAACCCACGACCTCCGGCTTAGCAGTCAGGGTCACTAACCACTAGACCAACAGGCCCGTCGAACAAAACTTTGTAGAGTGTGTCAAAATTTTTTTGTATCATAACAATATTTCAATAGATTTATGTTAAAATCACCACAAATTATAACTTTCTTTTTACCAGAACAAAAGCGTTTCAAAAGTGTATTAAATGTTTGAAAAAATGTGTGAATGTCCTCTGCATTTGACTTAGGCGGTCTATATATGCATAATATATATATTTTATGTTGCATCAATTCGATCCCTGAGCATTCTATAATGTTCTCTAAGGAGTACTGATTAATTTTATCTATCTGGGCACATTGATGCTTATTTTTTACGAGAATGCAAGATCCTCCACGCCGACTTTTCCTACAGTACAATGAAACAAGTTTATAATCACTAATAATTAACGAGTCTTTGTCAGAGGCGACCATGTTATGTTCAGTTATACACAAAACGTCAACGTTATTTTCAAGATCAACAAGAGATACCGCTAAAAGATCCGATTTAGATATCAAACCATTTAAATTTTGATGTAGAACACTTAAATATTTATTCACAAAAAAAATCTTTTGATTTCTGTGGTGTAGAAGCTTCTCTTACATATTCCAACGATGTATCAGTTTGAGTACATTTGTCCCTCAACAAGGGCAAGCAATTTTGGGTTTGGGTATACAATTCGTATTTCAATTTATAGTCAATATGAAGTATTTCTTTTAGAAGAGAACGACATACATAAAGCGCAAAAGAGTGTAATGGTGGTAAAATATTTATGTAATTCATGTCAATATATGTACAGTAATTAGTGTAGTTAGAACATACAAATCTAAGTTCGTAATTTAACTTACGCTCGTTTAAAAGTTTATTGTATGGTATTTCGGTAATTATGACATTAGTATTACAAGTGTTATTCAAAAATTGTTGGAAAGAAAATAATAAGCTATTAGGCACTTTGTCATTTATACCACCTAGTATGATAATAAAGTCATTTTTGTCTAGTATTTTTATCTCACTCTCATTAATTGTAGCTAAAACTTCTTGTAATTTCGCACCAGCTTTCCAATAGCATTTCACTTCATATTTTTCGCCAACTAGCTTTTGAAGGGTGCGACGTATACCGCGACCTTGTTGGTCAGCCAATACTATGATCTTTCTGACTTTTGGTAAAGCTTCATCCTTTATGGGTAAAATTGGAACTGGGTCACGGTTATAAAAAGACGTAGACGTTTTAAGTGCTTCGCTATGATTATCTTCAACGCTAATCTCTTCCACCACTTGTAATTCTGAAGAATTCGTTATATTTTGTTCCTGTGTCATAGTTTGGTTAAGGACCGCACTTTTTGAATTACACAGCTTATTCTTACGTAAGGATTTGGGAGTTCTACTATTTCGTTCTGGCGTCATACATATCCTCTACCATTAATAGCTGACTAAATTGATACTCTTGGAGAAATGTCTAATTTTTGAGCATTGACATGGCCTCATGGTTCTATCTAATTAAAATGGTGTCTCGGAGTAACATTCACAAGGCAACTTTTATTGCCCAGGATTTTGTGTATTATTTTCGGAGGATACCTTTTGGACTTTTTAATGTACCTTCCGTATACCGTGCGATTACCAAGTGCGATTACTGGGGCTCTTGAG